GTAATTTCAGATATAATAGACTTGTAAGACAGCTTGGTCCAAACCTGTATTGGTTTAGCTGCCACAGTATCATGCTGTTTTCTTTGTGTTCCTCCAGGTCCATGTTGGAGTGATGTGTCTGACGGTAGCAGCCACAATCACTGCTTTCATCCTTGTGTTCGTTCATACTCAGGACTGGTCTGGGGTCAGTACACCGACTCTGCTAGATTCTAAGAATCTTAGTTAAGTTGAGGTTTTGTACTATTCATTACAGCGACAATCACATGATAAAACCGTGTTTCTCTGTGTAATAATATTTCTTTTCTTATTTATTCCAACTAAATTATTATGTGTTGTTCACACAGGATTGGGTGTAATTGTTGAATACAAATTGTTGAATATATGAATGCAAATACTCTCCAAATTATGTTGCAACATTTCATTTAATCCCAGTTTTTAAACCCTATATTTAAGTACAAATCTATTTATATAGCACTTTTCAAGATCATTTCTGCAAAGTGCTTCACAACCAAAATAGTTAAGTTCAAAAGAACCCCAAAAGTTCCTCATTGAAGATTTTGTTGATATCGCGTGGACATCAAGAGTTTTAATTACATTAGGCACAAACAAGGACTTTGTTTTCTGTTTGAAGAAAATTGTCAGCCATTCATTTTTTTAATAGTCCAAACACCTATGCAAGACCTGTTGCTTAGAAAGTGCAAAGAGTGTGTTTATACACCATAATCATCTAGAAATGATTAAGTTCTCATGGTACTCTCAAAGATACTCTCGTACTTTTCACTCTGGGGTTATTTGTGGAGGCTTTACCTTCACTTGGGTTGTAGAGCAAGTCATCTATCAAACAGAAGGTCCATAGTTCAATCCTCAGCTCCTCCAGTCTGCAGGTTGCATCCACAGGCAAGATTAATATACCTCTTCAAAGTGGTTTTTTTCTTTAAGCACTCTTTAGTTGTATTTCAGCTCTCAGACTGATATTTATGCCCCATGATTAGCACTGTTAATGTGTTTGGTATCCAGGGAGCACATCCAGTGTTGGGGTGCCTGGTTATGATCCTCTCACTCATCCAGCCTATCGGGGCCTTGCTGCGCTGCGGACCACAACATCACCTGTATGTATCCATCTGTGTGTGTTTAATCAATATACTACATCATGCCTATACACATTTAAGAATACTCTGTTCACATATTATTTTAAAAAAAAAATAAAAATGGCCTCACTTTTTTTTCTCTACAATTATTTAACACATTTTGAAAACACGATAAACCAAAGGAATGAGGCAGTACATGCTTAATGACTAAATGCACTGCTCACTCGGCAAAGTGAGGTTATAAAGTTATTTGATAACCCTAAGAGTTGTATTCATACTTTATCCATAAAAGTTTTTAAAATGTCAAACTTTTGCAAAGTGTAGCCTACATGTGTTTTATCAGAGCACACTTTCACACTGAAACACCAAGTAAGAAAATAATTTGCACATGACTCGTGAAAGTTATTCCTTCCTCTTAGTAATAACGGTACTTTTAATAAATATAGCCTGGTTATAGCTTTGGAGGCCAGACTCAGTAAATGAAATATTTAAGTGTAATATAGTTTTAGTAAAATTGTATGTTCAGTAATGACACTTGTTTTCATAAATTGGATGCAGGAAATTCGGGGTTTTTTTTTGTTTTTTTTTGTCTCTTTTTTATCTTTTTGTCTTTTTTTGTCTTTCGGGTATTTTGTCTTGTGTTTTTTTGTCTTTTTTGTGGGTTTTTTTGTCTTTCGTTTTTTTTGTCTCTTTTTTGTCTTTTTGTCTTTTGTTTTTTGTGGGGTTTTTTGTCTCTTTTTTTGTGGTTTTTTTTGTCTTTCGTTTTTTGTCTTTGTTTTTTTTGTTTCTTTTTTGTCTTTTTTGTGGGGGTTTTTGTCTTTCGTTCTTTGGCTTTGTGTTTTTTTGTCTTTCGTTTTTTTTGTCTCTTTTGTCTTTTTGTCTTTTGTTTGTCTTGTCTTTTTTTTTTTGTCTTTCGTTTTTTGTCTTGTGTTTTTTTTTGTGGGGTTTTTTTTGTCTTTTTTGTCGGGGGTTTTGTCTTTTTTGTCGGGTTTTTTTTGTCTTTTGT